TTTACAAAAATATTTTTATTATAAATAAATTTAAAAAATCTTTAATGTATATATTTATGTGGTTTATACTACTTATCAAATTAATTATATTTAGTAAGTCGTGAGTCTCAATTGAGATACCCAAATGGGGAAGGAAAAGGGTAATTTCATAAAACTAGTCAAAGCCAGATTAAAACAATTAAATCTTCATTTAAAAAAAAACATACATATATGAAAATATACATACCATGTAACAAAAAAAACATACATCGAATGATATATGTATATGAAGCTCTTATAATAAACTTTCTGATAAAATATAATAATAAATTTTTATAAGATTTATGTATATAAATTTGAATGATATTGATAAAAAAAATATTGGTTTATATATATGTATATATCTCTATATATTATATAAATTAACAATTAATTAAAAAAAATATCAGATAAACGTGAAATTGATTTTGTGTTATCGTCTTAGAAAATCGAAAACCTGAAATTTGTTTTACCAACGTCATACCTATCTACTAATTAAACCAACCGGCTGCCAAAACACAGAAACCGTAAAAAAGCTATTCTAATAATAAAATAAGGTACTTGGATTCACCGCAGACAGATGCAATCATATTTTTCCTATGCGATATAAGTTTGATTCCAAAATATTAAAATATCATCAAAACATGTACTGTAGTTTAATATCGGCAGTGGTCATATTTATTTACCTCTGAAAGTATAAAACTTTCACAGCAAAGTAACAGAACTTCAGAAAAATGTGGGAACATAAAAGTCAAGTACGGCTTCGGGCCAGTTGGTTGAACAAGCGCTGACTCTGAGCTTCAAATTTGGCAGGACACGAGTTCAATTCCTGGTACTTGCAGTCTCAAAAAATTATTTATGAATAATTAAATACAAGAATTATTTCTAAGACCACTAATGATGGGTATTTCAAAAATTCAATTAATTAGAATAATATAAAATGATTTTTTGTTGTTGTAATTCACTAATGTTCGAAAAAGTTCATTAGAAAGATTAATAATTAAAACTAGCCCTACTATTTTGCTTTTTGACTGACGCTATTTTTAGGGTTGCGACCATACGCCAACGATACTTTATAGAGATGAGCATTTGATCACTTAATCAATCCATTATCTTCCTAATGTTTTAATATCTTTCTAACATATGATCGATGTTGTTATTGATCCTTGATACTCTACACTAAACATACAAAAGACTGTTGTTGTTATTATTATTCTCCACTTTGTAGAAAAGCTAATTAGGTCCGCGACAGGAGTAGCGAACAATATATGGATATTTGTGTTAACAAATGGCTTCGCAAAATAATACTGCTCCTTCCAATAACTATTGAACGACATAATAGAATTGTGAATGTGAATGGCACTAAAACCAGTTCTGTCTTCTTTTAATAAATCTCAACAACAGTCCGAGGCTCAAAGTTCCCAAATCAAAATTCCCACATCATTCTGTGAAGAAATAATGACGCGCTACATGACCCGCTTACCAAAGTCTGTCGAACTCAAATCTTAGTAACTACATTGAATAGTTATTGGTTAAAGCATCTCCGAAGTTGCTATTGCGTAAATATGGGCCAACAATGCTCTATAGTACTTTTCTTTAGATTGCGGTTGAAAGGTTAGAATGCGTTTTGCTAAACACAAGTTTTGGATTCTAATGTGAAAACTGATAGCAATATTGTATTATACAGCAGTATCTAGGAATGCTTATGGTAAGGTTTCTAAATTTATAGAGCCTTGATTGACTTTAATAGGTTTTGTTGGATTTAAACAGCTGCTAGCGTATTTCTTTATTTACAATTAGTCCAAAATAAATAAAAGATTTCAACACTTAGAACTCGTATCCCAATACTTCAAGTGTTTTACCAACTGTAAATATAAGAGTGTAGAGTATAGTCTACCACCTATATACTGAAGACATATCTTCGGCACATATACTATTTTATTAATTTGGAGTCTCGAGTCTTCAAAATCTAAAAAATTCTCCAAATAATTATTGAAATTTAAAGTCTATGTAATAAACTACATGACAAATGACGTTAAATATTGACGTAGAAGCTGTCAATGGTGCTACTGTTATAATTAAAAATTTTTTTTTAATACTTCAACTTGTAGAAATAGAAACTGCGAGGTTTTTTCGGGCAGGATGATATAGTATTACAAAAAGAGCTGATCTATATCGCAGAACAACTTGGCCTCGGTCAAATGTTTCTTTCCCTATCAACGTTTATAAGTAAGTGGAACCAAGCCGCATGTATAAATAACGGGGAAACTATCCCATCTATAATTGTTATGAATTATCATTATATTATTTACACCATATAAAGGGATTTTTATATAGAAATAATAGAGTATCTGTATTAGCAATAATAATTACATTTCAAAAAAAAAAAGCTTTATGAAATCTACAATTTTATTTATACTTTATTTTAAAAAAAATTCACACTGTTATACATTTAAAAAAATTAATTATTTTTCTTTATAATGGAATTAATTTTCATTCGTAAAATTTTATTTATAGAACACTTATGAATCGCTATTATTAACAACAAAAAAAAAAAAGAAAAAAATATAAAAATAAAAAGTAGTTCTCTTGAAATAAATTAGAGATAAGTTTTTCTGATAAGAATATTTAATGAAATTATTTGAGACAACTTTTTACCATTAAAAAAAAAAAAACGAGACAATGCATTTGCAAATCATCACAACTTAAACGAATCGATTCTTCACGGAATGACTGTTTTTACACGTAACGCTATAATTCCAAAGAAATTTTATATAACAAAGTAACTCTAATTTCCGACATTTATTTACATTGGGTTTATATAAGATACATAACTGTCGGTAGTACTCGTAATGCAATGAAGGTGAAAAGTGTAAGAGAAACACCAGAAATAATTGGAAATTTGTATAGAAAAATATTTAGATAATACAATTTATATGGAAAGTTTTAAAGCCTGAGAACTAGTAGATCTAAATTTAGTTCTTAAGAATTTGTTATTATGAAGAATAATGAAAATAGAAAAATATGGACGAATGACAGGTGTGGGCATAGTAGATTTGGAATTTATATTCACCAATCAAATGTGAATAAAATTTTCCAGAACATTCTAATTATAAAATATGATTGAAAATACTATATGTGGCGGAAGGATATCTGTCGGTCAGCCCTACTGTCAGTCAACCAACCAACACAAAAAAAAATTTATATCATTAACTAAACTAATTAGACTAGAAATTGAATATATCCTTCTTATAACGTCATAAATTTTTATGTTTCAATGCAATACAATATTAAACAATCCTTTACAAAGCCAGCCCACTCACTTCAGTAGCATATACCTACAGGTAGTTATTGAGAACGCAGGGCTTTTGAAAAGTAATTCAAAGTTCAAGTGAAAAAATTTATTTAGAAACATCCATATTATTTTGTGTAAAATTATTCAAAATTTTTTAGTAAGGATTTCAACCATAAACCCTCTCCTGTCAACACTTATGCTTCACTTCACTCTCAAATGTTGTTGACAAATTAATATTAAGAAAAATAAATTAACACCAATAACAAGAGCATAAAAAGAAATATCCAAAGTGTCAGCTAATAGCACTCATGTTTGCATATATGTTACAAACATGCATATATGTGGAGACTGTTAGAGATTCATCTTTAAAATTAACCTTACTTATCAATTTACACTCAGTAAAAAATTTAATTTTAATTTCATTTAATTTTAATATTTATATTAGAAAAAAAAAAATAAGCTATAGCGTAACATTATCATAACTTCTTTGTATTAAGTTCTCATATAAGGATCTATACACTAGAAAGAATAATAATACAGCGCACACAATAAATAATTCCTCTACGAAAATAATAGTATTGAAATTAACAATTAAAAATAACTACAATTATTTAATTCAATTCTACGATAGCTTATCTATAACTTCGTTCTCATATAACACAGCAAGTAAATTTGTTAAATTAACAAAAGCAAATTAGCAAATTAACAAAACTCCAAATTAACAAAAGTAAGAACAATACTAGTCAGTATAGTTTGGAGTCAGCTGGTTTATTAACACTGAATCTGAGTTTCAAATTTGGCAGGGTACGAGTTCAACTCATGGTTCTTGCATACTAAAAAAACTATTGGCAATTATATTATATTAATATTATTTTTATATAATTAATATAATATATAACATATTTCTAAAAGACCTTTTGTCTTTGATATGATCCGCCAAAAATTCAGTTAATTAAAAATAGTAAAATTTTGTTGTTTTCTTTCACGACTATTTAAAAATCTTTTTATTAAAAATTAATTAATATTAATATTAATAATATTATAAATATTATAAAATTAATAATATAAATATTATAAAATTAATAATATTAATATTAATTAATTAATATTAATAATTGAAAATTTATTTAATAATAATTTTTTATAAATGCAAAAATATTATTAATTATAAGATTGTAAACATTTTCTTGACAATACTATTTTTTATACACTGCAAAACTATAATTAATAGTTTATAAACGATTGTCAAGCACATTTCGCAAGTATTGAACCTACATATCTCCGGGTGAGCTGTGATTTCATAAAAACTATAAACAATAACTTTTGCGTTCATTGCATGACTAAGCAACATAATTTTTTCTTAATATTTTTTTTTTGTTTTTTTTGCATATTAATTAAGCTTCACATAATAAATTACAATAATCAAATATGATTTTGTTATTTAATTTTTTTGTTTTTGTTTTTTTTTTTATTAAATAAAATACACACCTTATCCTGTTCCTTGTTGTATGCTGCAGTTGCATTGTTGCTGCGATTGTTACTTTCATCGTTGGACTTTTGTGCGGCTGAATCGAATAATTTAGCATCGACGACAGCGTCGCGTTTTTTATTTTTTGACTTAAAGCGTCCCGACCGTGAAATTGTGAAATTACGCCATTGATGACTATATTCACAGCGTTTCTCCTCCTCATTAAGGATGCTGTCCAAATAGTTGATGGGTTCATGTGCGGTCATAGTGTTGCTCATTGTTAATTCAACGATTTAAATTTTTTTTTTTATATTTTTTTATGCTCTATTTTTGTATTTGATTTTTATATATTTTTTTCTTTGTTAATTTATTTAATTAAGTTTTCTTTATATTTAAATATTTTTGTTTGCTTTCGTTTTAATTAATTTAAAATAATTAAATTAATTTTAATTGTTTTTTCTTGTTGCCCTTCACTTTTTAAATTTTAACGGTTTGTGTACGATTTAGAAAATAAATAAATAAAAAAATATATTTACGAAAATACGAATTTCCTCGCATTTACTTTACGTTTACTGATTATTCATGTGGGTGCGTTGCAAATTGATTTACTCTGTTTGTTGGCGCTGTTAAAGCTTTCCTGCTGCATTAACCGATGAAGACAAAAACTACGACTGCTGCTTGCGAGTGCAGTGCGCATTCGTTTAGGCTTTCTTTCTTTCTGTCTGACTGTCTTTCGTACATTTGGTAAACACCATTAATGACGCTGACGACAACGACACCAACAACATCAACAACGACGACAACGTTGCCGACGACGATGCACAGTGGTTTAACATCGACAAATTATCATATATTTATTTCATGGTCACCAATTAAATTTACTTATTAGTAATGAGGGTTTTGATCAGTACATTGTGTTTTTTTTAAATTATTATTTTTTGTTTATTTATTTATAAATTTGATTTTTTTTTTATGGTTCTTATATATTTTTCAATCAGGCTATAGGTCCCTTTTTGTTACATAAATTAACGTTTAATGTTTTTATTATACTCTATATTTCGACGCTCCTTGAGAGTCACCATTGGGATCACGCTCTAACATAAATGAATATTATTAAAACTATATACACTTCACCCTCTTTATTTTATCGTCTACTTTATATTTCGACTTTCCTTGAGATTCATTATCAGCATTACGATCTAACATAAATTAATTTTACTAAAACTATATCTACATCATTCTCTTTATTCTATCGTCTATATTGCAATGTAATAAAAAAATATTAACCGTTGAATTATTTAACAAAAAGGGACCTATAGCCAGATCAAAAAATATATAAAAACCATTTTTTGTTTAAGCCACTCTGATTTTATAACTTATTATTTATAAGAACAATTTTTAATTTACACATTGATACGTTAATTAAACAGTGAAAAACTTTAGCTAAAACTTAGTATTGTGGTATATATTATAATTAACTAATTTAAAACACTTTAAAACTTATTAATGAATTATTGGGTATTGCTTTTGTTATTGTTACTATTGACATTGTTATTTATTTGTGTACAATTTTAATTTTATACATTATTAAAAAAATTATATTTGTATAATGAAATCTTTTTTTTTGTTTTTTTTTTTTGGAGTTTTGCCAAATATCCGCCATGGTGTTTGTAGAAAAATTTCTTAGACTTAATTAATTTAAGGCTACAAGTACCAAGGGTTGAACTTTTATTCCGTCAAAATGGAAGCTCAGCGTCAGTGTTAATCAACTAATTAACCCAAAATAGTTTGTATTAAGAAAATAGTTTTTTCTTCGGTTGCTTAATAAATTAGTTTATGAGAATATATCTATTTGGGGCTAAAACTGTTTATGTTATTTTAAAATGCTAAAGTGGGTCAAATGAACATCATCTCTGATTTATTTTCTATCAAATATGTACTATCTAATATTAATGAAGATATCGCAGCTTTTCTTTATTTCTGAGGCTAGAAGGGATTAGAAGGGAAAAACAACTTCATGAAGAAGGAGAGCAGAGGAGACTGAATCGGTTTACAGTGAAATTAAAGAAGAATAAGTTTAAAAGTTGTCTTTTATGTATGTGGTAACATACATACGTATAGAAGGTCCAGAATTTTAGATGGATTAGATTAGATTTTTAATATAGGTTGGAAACTTTTCACCGCGTCAGTGCATTCTTTAAGGATTATTGCGACATACCCACTTCAGTTCCATAGACGAGTAGCAGTTAAGAATGCCAATATGTCCTTTAAAGAGATGTTGCCTAATTCCGTTATAAGCGGATAGGCAGTGGATAAGTACCACTGCCACAAAATGTGTTCTGCTGTTTCCTCTTCTTCGCAACAAAGTCTGCAGCTATCGTTTCTAGTAATATCTAGATTCGATAGATACTTTTTAACTTCGCAGTACCCAGTGAGAAACCCTGTGACAAGTCGCATACCACTTCTGTTCAGCATAAGTAGATCCCTAGTTCTGGCATTTGCTTGGATTCTTTGGCTTGTCTTCAGGCAATTGTATTATTCCAATCAGTCTGAGCTGCTCTTTGCAGCCACTCATTAGTTTTAAGTTTGTAAGAGCTCCACGAAGGATCGCAGAATGGTTGTGGGCCAATATAATATGAGTCTGCCCCTTTTTGAGGATACCTGTCGTGATAGCTCAACACCACGGTGCTTTTAACACATCTCTTTTTTAACCTCTATATTTGGCAAATTGAGCCACTGTGCGACGTCGCCGACGAAGTTATTGCTGTGTACTCGTATACTTGTATTTGGAGTTTGGTAATATAATAATGAAATAAATATAAAAACAAAACAAAAAACAAAACAAAAAATTTATTCGATCACTAAAAAATACACACTATAAATTATATTTTAGAGTTATTAGATTTTAGTTAATTTTTATATATGTATGTGCATATTTATTTATATGTATGTATGTATGTAGTTTATAACAAAAAGAAATAGAATCGTAAAAAAAATTTGTGTACCAAAAACACTTAAAAGCCACAATTGGTTTACTTCTTCTCTGTCCCCAATACTCCACACAGCATGCACACAGGCACACACAACTACACGTGAATTTGTTATATGAATTTAAACTGTTTCGTTCGTAGACATCTTTTCTTTCGTTTGTTCTTTTTCGTTTCATTAAAAATACCCATAGTATACAATAAGAAAAAAACCACAATAATAATATAAAAAGCAGTTCAATAGAAAAATTAAAGAAAATAAAAAGAAAACTTTAAAATGATACGGTTTAAAAACTGAGAAGTTAAAAAAAACACTAAAGAAAAAAAAGCAGTAAATAGAAGTGGCACTGCTGACGATCAAACGTGCACACGCGGTGGGCTACAGTGAATCAACAATAAAAAAAATCAAATCAAAACGCAAAGTAGTGATGCATAATGTTATTGTTGTTGCTCTCATTTTTGTTATTGTTTTTGCTTTTGGTTGTTGCTGCTGTTGTTGTTGTTGTTGTTGCTACAGTTCTGTTTTATTTTCGTGTCTGATAAGCTTTAAGCGCACGAAGACGCAAGGCGCAAATAGACAAAACAAATACGCCGGCTTTTGCTTCAACATTAGGTATGTGTGCTTACATTATGTATGTGTACGTGTGTTAGTGTTAACAATTGTTACTCTACTGTACAGTAGAGATCAGTTATAATCTGTGGCAGAAATCAAAACATATGAGTGTGCAACATTTGAAGTGTTGGTAAAAATGTTTATACTCACTCGTGTTTTATATAACCAACGGATTTTCAAACTTCAATAACAATTTTAAGTGTCATTTTTTATTAACTGCTAATTAAATGAAAAGTAAATTATCGACCTTCTCAAGAAAACCTATAATCTCTAATAGATATTTCAAGAATTTTATTTATTTTATTTTATGAGAATAGAATGATAATTGTATAATAAAGCTAACTGTGGATTATATGGAAGGAAATGCTTAAAATGGGGAACCAGAAGACATCAAATTAAATATTTATTTATTTTATTTTATTCAAACTTGTAAAAAAGTCTGAGAAAACTTATTTAAATGATATATTGTAGATATATTTTGAGGTTTGTTGCAAAACTTGTGTTAAAAGATCAATTGAATCAGTTGTGTTCTATGAGCAATTGGATGAAATAATCTTTGATATCCCAAAAGGGCGCAAAACAGTTCCAGTATTGGGTTCTGTTTGAAGGAGACAGAGCTGTTGAGAGCTTTGAGGACTTTAGAACACTCAACTGAAACACTTAACTGGAAAAGCTAATTGGAAAAGCTGCTCAAATTATATGAATTTATAGAAGTTTTTACGTTTGAATATTGCTGAATTCGTCATCCTAGGATTTTCTTTACCTTGCTTTTCTGTGCAATGGTCAGATTCATTGTAGCTCATGCAGTTCTGGTTTTGTGGAAAAAAATGCTACAAAGTACTATCATAGCTAAATGCAATTAGTTGCAGAGACTGACAAACTATGACAGTTAACATATTATACGTCTCATCGTCTCACAACAGTACTTAAATCCATAATCTATCCGTAATCTATTGGATTTGTCTATAAAAATGAGGAAATTTATTAATAATTACTCATACGCAATGGGAAAGTTTTGCATTTCTATTGAAAAATGCAATTTTGATATATGAAATATTAGCTCCCACACAATTATTTTGCTCTTAAACCGAAGAATGAGCTCAGAAATTTACAGGTGGTATAGAAGAAACACCGCGTATAAGTTTAAACATCTAATTTCTTTTAAGGTTACAACTATTTTTAGGTTATGATTTTCTCTTTCGTAACAACATTAACTGAATATAATAACTTTTTCAGTTACGTGTGGACTGTCACCTATTTCTGTAGATCCAATAACCAGAAAACAATATTGACTGGGCGTTAATGATGGTATCTTGCGTTACAAAAAGTTGTCATTGGTTGTTGATGTCAGATAAGATTCCTTATGTATTAATTGTTAGTAGATTTAGGTCTCCTACTAAATAATATACTATTTGCATATCCTCCTTTTTGGTACTTAGATGAATTTGCTTTGATAGCAACTGATTGTCCATTTCTATACGAAGAAGGTTTTTACAATAGTCACCGAATTTTGATATAACTGTATATTATTCAAATAAGTCCCCGAATCTGGGTGGTAATACCTTAAGAGTATTCGTATTATTTGTATTTTATAAGGCATAAATATTTATAAGTTAGTCTATAGCATGTAGAAAATATAATTTTAAAAATATATCTAAAATTAAAAGTCAAGTTTAGATTTTAATATTAAATACTTAAGAATAAATTTACTAAAAACTGAACACTTGTTTTAATTAAATTTTAATTAATATTAATAATGAG